TTCTCAGCCCTGTATAGTACTTTTAAATGAGAACAAAAAACAGTGCCGGTTTAGAAAGAAACTGGTTTTGACTTCATTATTGTGAGGAATCTTTCTAGAACAGATAGTTCTGTAACAGGGACAGAAATTGAAGAGGAAAGTATACTACTAACATAATTCTGAAAAAGTTTTAGTTCTTATGCTAGCAATATCACAGAAGGCAGAAATCATTATAGCTGAGAAAATCATGAATATATCTTTTTAGGTGTCTGTTTCTTATAATCAAAACCAGTCTACATTGTATGGGCTGGGAAGGTGGCTCAGCGGTAGAGCGCATGCCTTGCAAGCATGAGGCCCTGGGTTCGATTCCTCAGCACCACATAAGCAGAAAAAGCCAGAAGTGGTGTTGTGAATCCAGTGGTAGAGCACTAGCCTTGAGCTGAAGAGCAAGGGACAGCACCCAGACCCAGAGTTCAGGTCCCATGACCAGCAAAAACAAACAAACAAAAAAAAAAACCAGTCTACATTACATTGTAAATACTCCAATCCATCACCAACATTTTGGTTGGCTCTGAAAAGCCTTCCCTAAGAAAACACTTAGCAGAATACTGGTTAAGATGGACTATATAATGTCTGACCAGGCTACTTTGTCATTCTGTGACCCTAAGAAATTCACTTTACCAAATTCTGATCAGACCTATTCACAGATATATTTCCACATATGATTTGGCTCTAAATGGTTTTATGACCATATAGATCCTGTTTATCAAAGTGTTCAAACCTGTAAAAGATGGAACAGAGGGCTGGGAAAGTGGCTCAGTGGTAGAGTGCTTGCTGTGCATGCATGAGGCCCTGGGTTTGATTCCTCAGCAACCACATAAGCAAAAAGAAAAAAGCCAGAAGTGGCGCTGTGGCTCAAGTGGTAGAGAGCTAGCCTTGAGCTGAAGAGCTGAGGAACAGTGCCAGGCCCAGAGTTCAGGCTCCACAACCGACCCCCCCCCCCAAAAAAGATGGAACAGAGTCAAAACCTATTTGTTTCAGTATTTTTAATGTTATCCTTGTTTTTCTTGCTTTCTCTAAAAGTCACAAGGAACAACCTCCCCACTTGACCCTAAGAGCTATAATTCTCATCTCATTACACACCTACACATTGTCCTAAGGTAAATTATTACAGACAAACTGTAATGAATACTCTAAAGTAAGTTTCACATACAATTCTCCCTACATTAATCTGACATGCTAAAAACAATTAGGGGTGAATTTGACCCAAGTACATTATGTGTATGTAAGTACAATGAAGTCCCTTAGTATATATAATTTGTGCTAACAAAGATGAAGACGAAAAAACAACAAAACCGCCCCCCAAATCTTAAAGTTTCTCCATAATCACAATCAGTATGTACACATTTTAAGAATGTGATATGGCCACCCAAACAGGAAATGATGACTTAACTTTTGATATATAGGCCTAAATTACAAAGCAGAGTCTAACCAACCTTTTAGTCACTGGCGATTGCCATCGCTTTCCCATCTGCATCCTGACAGCATCAGAGAAAAACAAATGTCAACAATTCCATTCACTAAATTATTTACTTTGATGGGAGTTTTACATCCCACTAAAGGAGATTTTTTTTTAAAGTTTTCAAAGATATTCAGGAGTTAAAAGTTGTGAGTTAGCTGCTTTACTTTTATCATATACATATATGACATAGTGGCTCAATAGTGAGAACTCATTTAGTTCATACTAGATATTAAGAAAATACCAACCACGAAATCACTCACACACACACACACACACACACACACACCCCAACCAAATCCAACCACTTTTCTAGCCCTTGATATAAAAGTTATGTAAATTCTAAAATATCTCCACAGCCCACCCTTAAGTCATGAAGTTTCATAACTACAGAACACCAGTAAAGACTACTAAAGGTTGTTACCGAGGGGAGGTCTCTTTCTGATGCTTTCTTGGAGATGGAGAAGCACTCCGGGAAGGGGAATGTCTCCGCCGCCTGCCTACCTCACCGTTCTTCACATGGGATCTCTTGGGCCGCTCATCTTCTGAGGAGGAGGAAGATCCAGAGTCTACAAATAAATATATGGTTAAATAAGTGCAAGAGTAGATTGCTCATCTTCAGAGGAAGAGCCAGAGCTTAGATAAATAAATAGTAAACAAAATAACAGCAGGCCTCTTAACCCAGATACTGGTAGCTTATAGGAAGGAGGCTGATGGCTCAAAGCCTACCTAGACAGAAAAGTCCACAACCTCCAGTTAACCAGAAAAAAAGCAGAAGTACAAGCATAGCTCAAGTGGTGGAGCACCTTTGTAGCAAATACAAGGCATAGAGTGCCACCAAAAAACCCTCTGCTGGGAAAGACTAGAGGGACTAATGATCATACTATTCTAGTCTTCTAAACTGTTTATCTTCCCCAACTAGTGTTAGGAATTAAAACCCCAACTTACTGATTTCCATAAAGACATAAATATTTCTCTTCAGTATAATCACTACTCAGATTTTTTTGCCTCTGTATTTTTTTCATTGTGAAAATACCATACAGAGGGGTTACAACTACATGAATAATGAGTACATTTCTTATCAAGCATTGTTGCCTCCTTCTTTGTTTCCCCTTATCATCCCTTCTCCCCCTCACCCCCCCCCCCAGATATTTCTCAAGGTATTTCGGCTTATTTTGTTGAGACAAGATCTTTCTATACTATGCAGCACAGACTGGAATCAAATTCAAGATCTTCCTAACTCAGTCTCCTGTGTGCTGGGATTCCAGAGGGTCCATCATCATATGAGTGCCTAAGTACAGTATTTTTTACTTAGACATGCAAGCAGAAGACAATCAGTGTTCATACCAGATGAAGACTGCTGGTTCTGTCGTCTGTATTGACGCCTCTGCTGCACAGAATCAGCTGCAGTCATCTTGCCACCTTTATCTTCTTCTGAAAGATGGATGCATTTAGAAATTGTTTCTTTAGTTATGCATTATAGGTAGTTTGACATGTATGAATAGGAAAAGCTTTTTTTTTTTGGTGCCAATTCTGGGATTTGAAGCCTGGGTTCTGTCCCTGAGCTTTTGTGCTCAATGTTATTACTTTACCACTTGAGCTATACCTCCATGCCCAGATTTTTGGTGGTTAACTGGAGGTAAGAGTCTCCGACTTTTCTGAACCATGATCCTCTCAAATCTCAGCCTACTGATAGCTAATATTACAGGTAAAAAAGTCTCTTAAACCTTTATCTGTTTGGGTCAAGTGATATAATTTATTCAATGTACCCAAAACAAACTTTTAAGCCAGGCATTGATCTCAGAATCATGGACTAAAGCTAGTATAGACACACAAATTGAAACTGTGACTTTTATCTCCAATTAACCAGCAAAATGCTAGAAGTAGAAGTGTAGCTCAAGTGGTAGAGCGGCACCCTTGGAACAAAAAGTAAGGCCAAGTATACAAGGCTCAAGCCCCAGTACCACCACCAAAATAACCAACCAATCAAATAAACCTCAATGACCACAACAAAGAAACCACCAAAAAAATACCACAAACAAAAAGCCTAGTGAAAATTCCCTTTCTGAAGTAGTAGATAGTACTACTTTTTTTTTCTTGTGCCAGTCCTGGAGCCTGAACTCTGGGCCTGGGCGCTGTCCCTCAGCTCTTCAGCTCAAGGCTAGCACTCTACCACTTGAGCCATAGCACCACTTCTGGCCTTTTCTGTTTACATGGTACTGATGAATGGAACTCTGGGCTTGTTTCATGCAAGGCAAGCACTCTATCACTAAGCCACCTTGCCAGCCCAGTACTTATTTCTTCCAATTAAAAACTTACCTGATTCAGATAACTCTACTTTTCTAGGCTTTGGTGCTGGTGAAGGCGACTCTCTTTTTTCAGTACCTTTATGTTTTGTCACTAAAAAAAGAGAAAAAGTTGCTTAGACACAATAAAAAGGATCATACAAGTAAGATGGCTCAGTGGTAGAGTGCTTGCCTTGCATGTGTGAGGCCCTGTGCTCCATTCCTCAGCACCATATAAGCTGGAAGTGGTGCTGTGGCTCAAATGGTACAGCACTTGCCTTGAGCTGAGGAGCTGAGGGACAGTGCCCAGGCCCAGAGTTATTTCCCTTATCAGTTCAAATAAAGAAATGGGCAGGTACCCTTGGCTCATGCCTGTAATCCAAGTTACTCAGGAGGCTAAGATCTGAGGATTATGGTTTGAGGCCAGGCTATGCAAGTAAATCAGTGAGACTCATGTCCAATAAACCAAAAAAGAAAAAAAAAGCCAGAAGTGGAGCTGTAGCTTAAGTGGCGGAGCAATAGCCTTGAGCAAAAAAGAAGCTTAGGCTCTGAGTTCAAACCCTAAGACCAGTGCATACATGCGCACACACAGAACAATAAAAGCTGGGAGCTGGTAGCTAATGCCTCTAGCTATTCAGCAGGCTGAGATCTTAAGAAGGCAGTTCAAAGCCAGCTTGGGCAAGAAAGACACTGAAACTAGGGCTGGGAAGGTGGCTCAGTGGTAGAGTGCTTACTTTGCATGAGGCCCTGGGTTTGATTCCTCAGCACCACATAAACAGAAAAAGCTGGAAGTGGTGCTGTGGCTCAAGTGGTAGAGTGCCAGCTTTGAGAACAAAAGCTGAAGATAGTGCTCAGGCCGTGAGTTCAAACCCCAGGTACAGCACCAAAAAGAAAAAGTGATTTAAAAAAATCCCAAACATCAGCTTTCTACCTAATGGAGTAAATAAAGCATGAAGCAACTAATGCTCTTTTCCCACCTGAATGGAGCACTATGGTGACTATCTTTTTTTTTTTTTTTTTTTTGTCGGTCATAGGGCTTGAACTCAGGGCTTTGGCGCTATCCCTCAGCTCTTCAGCTCAAGGCAAGTGCTCTACTGCTTGAGCCACAGCACCACTTCTGGTTTTCTAGTGGTTTATTGGAGATATGTTCACAAACTTTCCTGCCCGGGCTGGCATTGAACCGTGATCCTCAGAACTCAGCCTCCTGAGTAGCGAGGATTACAGGCGTGAGCCACTGGCACCTGGCTTTATGGCAACTATCTTTTGTGAATTTGCTGCACTACACAAATGGAATGCTGCCAAGTGTGACTGTGGAACTGTGTTTATTTGGACAGGTAAGCTCTGTCTCAGAACCAAAAAGGAATTCAACTCATCTCTACTCTTCCACCATTACTTCTCTGCTATGCACATCTTCACTGTGTACTATCTACTAAAAGTGTAAGACAAAATATTAAAGGTGTGCCTGGGAACGTGGCTCAGTGGTAGAGTACTCACCTCAGGCATGAGCCACAGGAGCCCAGCTAATAATTTATAGTTTTCACACCATTAAAATGTCACTACAGGTCTGGAAAGGTGGATCAGTGTTCGAGTGCTTGCCTTGCATGCATGGAGCCCTGGATTCAATTTCTCAGCACCACATAAGCAGAAAAAGCCCGAAGTGGCACTGTGGTTCAAGTGGTAGAGTGCTAGCCTTGAGCTGAAGAGCTAAGGGACAGTGCCCAGGCCCAGAGTTCAGGTCCCACAACCAACAACAACAACAAGGTGTTTTATTACATAATACTTTTTATGTCCATTGTGGGGCCTGAACTCTAGGCCTGGGTGCTTTCCCTAAGCTCTTTAACTCAAGGGGAGTGCTCAACCACTTGAACCACAGTGCCACTTCTGGTTTTCTGGTGGTTTATTGGAGATAAAGAGTCTCATGGGGCTGGGAAGGTGGCTCAGTAATATAGTGCTTGCCTTGCATGCATGAGGTCTTGGGTTTGATTCCTCAGCACCACATAAGCAGAAAAAGCTGGAAGTGGCACTGTGGCTCAAGTGGTAGAGCACAAGCCTTGAGCAGAAGAGCTGAGGGACAGCGCCCAGGCCCAGAGTTCAGGCCCCATGACCAGCCAAAAAAAAAAAAAAGTCTCATGGACTTTCCTGCATGGGCTGTCTTTGAACTATGATCCTTAGATCTCAGCCTCCTGAGTAGCTAGGATTACAGGTGTGAGCCACTGGCACCCGGCTTTTATTACACTCTTAAAAAAGAGAAGCCAGGTGCCAATGGCTCATGCTTTTAAACCTAGCTACTTTGGAGGTGGAAATCTGAGGACTGAGATTCAAATCTAGTCTGGGCAGGAAAAGTCTGTGAAACTTTTAACTAACCACCAATAAGGAGGAAGTGGAGGTATGACTCAAGTGATAGAATGCAAGCTCTGAATGAAAAAGTTCACAGACAGCACTCAGGGTCTGAGTTCAATCTCCTGTACTGGTGCATGCGCATGCACACATATGTGCATACACACACAGAGCAAAGTAAAATTTGTTTTTCCAGAAGTTGAGTGTGTGTTGGGAAAACATTGGAAGTAGAGTGGCCAAATAGAAATTGCAATCTCATGAAGCTCATTAAAATATACAAGGACAAATTTTCTCATTTCTATTGTTTGTAACATGAAATTTTCAATGGGACAACTTCAGCATATGGTTACAGGTCACTACTTAAAACCCAATTGCTATAGCAGCTTTTTCAGTTCTCCTCCATATCCCATGACTTACTTTCAAGGCTGTATCACTCTAGCTTTAAGCATCAAGACATTATGTAAATGGAGCCTTCAGGATTCTAGTTTTCTTTCATGTGTACTTAGGACTACAAGAACAAACCCCAATAGACTACAAACAACCTTCACTCAAATGAACACAGCATTCTTCTTGCACAGTAAGACTACAGATCATAAAAGTCTCAGAAATCAATGTGGAGAATAAAGGACAAAACTCAAAAGAACCCGCCCTAGAGCCTAAAGTAAAAAAAATAAATAAAAATAAAAAATAAACCAGGTTTAAAGATAACACTATGTCGCCGGGCGCTGGTGGCTCAGGCCTGTAATCCTAGCTACTCAGGAGGCTGAGATCAGAGGATCACAGTTCAAAGCCAGCCTGGGCAGGAAACTCCATGAGACTCTTATCTCCAATAAACCACTAGAAAACTGGAAGTGGTGCTGTGGCCCAAGGGGTAGAGTGCTTGCCTAGAGCTGAAGAGCTGAGGGATAGCGCCCAGGCCCAGAGTTCAAGCCCCACGACCAACAAAAGAAAAAAAAAAAGTTAAAAAAAAGATAACACTATGTCCTTCCTTTAGGAGAACAATGTGGCCAAAAAGGTATACAGTCTTTAATAACATATCAAGTAAGTATTCTTCAGAGAAAGTGGTTTCAGAGTAACAGAGTGAACCATTATTATGAGAATGTATTTCTCTACCTGGCCAATGCCAGTGAGTCCCCTAAACAGTTTTGTTTTTTTTTAAGTCAGTCATGGGGCCTGAACTCTGCTTGGGCTCTGTCCCTCAGCTCTTCAGCTCAAGGCTAGCACTCTACCACTTGAGCCACGGCACCACTTCTGGCCATTTCTGCTTATGTGGTGCTGAGGAATGGAACCCAGGGTCTCCTATATGCAAGGCAAGCACTCTACCACTGAGCCACCTTCCCAGTCCCCAACTAGTACAGCTTTTACCAGGATACTGCTTTACAAGAAATTCAAAAGGAAAAGTAAATTTAGAAGTACATTCACAAACTATTTTTTTGCTTCATTTTCCCCAGTCCTGGGGCTTGAACTCTGAGGCTTGGCATTGTCCGAGCTTCTTTTTGCTGAAGGCTAGCACTCTACCACTTGAGCCACAGCACTAGTTCAGGCTTTTTTTGTTTATGTGGTACTGAGAAATCAAACACAGGGATTCACGCATGCTAGGTGAGCACCATACCACATTCCCAGCCCACAATTTTGTATAGAAGCCACTTCATACTTTTGAAGGGGGCAACAAGAGATTAGATGCATTGTAGCAAAAGAGAGAACAAATATTTTTGTTTGATTTTTACCTTTACCTGAAGCTCTCCCCGGAGACACAGAAACACGACTTTTTCTTGTACGGTTTGACTGCTGGGGTGTTGGGGAATGCCGAGTTTTTGGTGGTGGAGATGCTGGGGGTGATGGCCTGTGCCTTCGCCTTGGAGGACTTGCAGAAGGAGATAACCTGCGAGTTTTTCGAGGAGGGCTAGATGTTCTCTTGGGAGGCTTCTTTGGTGGTGACCGGGAACGAGATGATGAGGATGATGAACTACTCCCAGACAAGGATGCTGATGAACGCCTCCTTCTGTTGAATAAACATTCTCACTAAGAGCTACCTTAAAGTATGTATAGTTTACAGTTGATTTTACCCAGCTTGAGTTTACAACACTAAGTCCATAAACTAGTCAAAAAGAGACAGAGGAACAGAGAAAAAGAAATGCATAACCCAGGACAGGAAATATCTAGTATTGAGACTAAATTAAAAAAAATTTTTTTTGGTTGGTCAGGGGGCTTGACCCCTGGGCCTGAGCACAGTCCCTCAGCTCTTCAGCTCAAGGCAAGTGCTCTACCACTTGAGCTACAGCAAACGCCACTTCCAGTTTTCTGGTGGTTTATTGGTGATAGAAGTCTCAGTCTTTCCTGCCCAGGCTGGCTTTGAACTGCGATCCTCAGATCTCAGCCTCTTGAGTAACTAGGATTACAAGCATGAGCCACCAGTGCCTGGTGAGACTAAATAATTTATTCTAATAAATGCTTCTGAGTTGTGTCACATCAAATTGAGCGCTATAATTCAGTAACTAATCACTTTCTCTTCCATAGAGTTTGTATATAAAATATGCAGAGCAATGTACTTTTCATTCAGTAAACTATAAAACAACTTTTTTTTTTTTCGGTCAGTTGTGGGGCTTGAACTCAGGGCCTAGGTGCTGTCCCCAGCTTTTTCATTCAAGACTAGTGTTCTGGGGCTGGGAATGTGGCTTAGTGGTAGAGTGCTTGCCTAGCATGCATGAAGCTCTGGGTTTGATTGCTCAGCATCACATAAACAGAAAAAGCCGTAAATGGCACTATGGCTCAAATGGTAGAGCGATAGCCTTGAGGAAAAGCAGCTCAGGGAAGCCAGCTGCCAGTGGCTCATGCCTGTAATCCTAGCTACTCAGGAGGCTGAGATCTGAGGATTGTAGTTCAAAGTCAGCCCTGGCAGGAAAGTCCCTGAGAATTGTATTTCCGATAAGCCACCAGAAAACCGAAGTGGGGCTGTGGCTCAAGAGGTACAATACTGGCCTTGAGCTGAAGAGCTCAGGGACAGGCCCAGGCCCAGAGTTCAAGCCCCACAACTAACGGAAAAAAACAACAACAACAAC